CCCCCCCCCCCCATCCTGAGCCATGGTTCTGCTCGAGGTTGCTGCCTGTTAAAAGGAAGTTTTTCCTTCCCGGTGTCGCCTAGTGCTTGATCTTGGTGAGAATTGTTATTCTGCAGTTAACTTCAGAGTCTAGTCTGAGCTGCTCTGTTTGGAAAGCTGGGCGATAACTGTTGTTGTGATGTGGCGCTATAGAAATAGAATTTAATTGAAATTAAATTGAATTTAATTCATCTGTGGTCACCTCAGGCCGACATAACGTCCTCCCAGAGTCTGTAGTCGTTGTTTGTCAGAGCCTGTTTTTACTTCCGTGGATATCCGTGTAAAGAAGACTTTCCTCCCGGTTTGTTTGTTTTTACTGTGTGGATTTTACGTACGAAAGGGAGCGAATTGGTCATCTGCTTTTGGGCATTTCGCTTATGCAACCGCGCCCAGTGAGCTCCAAATGGAGATTAGATCACATGGTGTCTTATATTAAAAAGCTTTGGGCTGATGCAGATTAAGTTGAGATTATGACTGACAATGTCTGCCCTCAAAGTCATAGCAGGACATTTAGGCTCCACCTCATCTCCACCCACCAACCCTCAAAACACGTATTTGATCAGTGTGAGGGGCAGAAAACACGGGGTGATGTCACAGTGGGTCTAATCTGAATACACATGTGGGTTATAAAGGTATAATGAGACGGTGGGATCTTGAGTTTCTCCTTTTTTTAAAAACTTTTTACTCTTTCAATGCACACAGAAAATAATATAATCACTAACTAAAAAAATATTAATAAAAAATGGCTAAAAAGGCTTGTCCACTATTTGGTTTGCGACATAGAGGACTAACGAAATGAATGGACCATCAGATTTTGTTTACTTGAACTCAGGAATGCTTCATCATTATTCACCACGAAGGTTTCTCATTAAAAATGCCAGCAGGATATCGACACACCGAGTGTGACCTGAAAGAGACTCTGCTCTTAATTGAGAAGATGTGATTAACATATCTCTGTATACTTCATTAAACCAATCGGCGCTCAGCCATATATTTGATTTTTTGCACTAAAGTCTCACAAGCTGCTTCTCAATCAAACTTGTCAGAAAGAAACAAACTTTCAGACGCCTGTCGGCCATTTTTTTCTGTGAGCTCAAATTCAAATATAGCAAAAATAAGCTAGATAGCAATCTTAATGATTAAATGATATTGAATAATGTTACAAATATTTTCAGAAATCCTGAAAATAGGAGACTAGCTGTTTCGTGGTTGAGATATCTAGTGAATATTGTGGCGCGGTTGCTAAGGCGACCGGTGGCTAGTGCTGGCTAGCTGCTCTGATTTTGGTGTTCTGAGTCCTCTGTAAAGTAAAATTAAAAGTTTCAGCTCAAGTCTCACACTGTCCTGTATTGTGGCTAACTTTCTGTATTTGGCCCTTTTCAGCCAAACCAGCTTTCTAACTGGCTAAATGCTGAAAATAGGCCCTGAGTCGGTACTGGCTAATAACTGGTTTGGTTTTCCACAGCCAGGGCCACTTAAATCAATATTTAGATTATTCAATTTTTCATGAAAATCTTTGAAAAGGTTTATATCTTCACAAAAACAACATATTACGGAGTCTACCTTCATTCTCAGCTAATTAATGTTTTCATTTAGATTTTTCATACGCCGGGCCAAATAACTTTATTACAGCAACTGACAACTATAATCAGTTCAGCTCCAAGAACCTTTTAAAAAATCCACTTAAGATGTTTATTATCTCCATCAAACCGGATTGTTTTCTTAGCGTTCAGAGTCCTGAGAAGAGACGGGAACACAGAGCTAGAATTTCAGGATTTAGCTGGTTTCAGAATGCCACCATAAGTCACTACGTTTTTATTTGTATTTTCCAATAGTCTTGCAAAACTAGCAAAGCTCTGATTACTGAGAGTTTACAGGGAATTTGTCCTGTGCAGCATCGTCTGGCGGTTTAACCCTATAATGCCAAATGTATCATATCTGATCTGGTTTCTGAAGTCTTTTGGATCTGAGACTTTCTGCATCATTCAGTGGTAAAAGCTTTGCTCAAACCCCTGTTGTACACATTCAGATATACCTGATAACAGCCAGTAGAAGACTACACCAAAATACATTTTGGACTTATTGCACGCTAATTTGATCAAAATAATTTAAGTTTTTTTTCTTCATATGTTGTTGAGGGGCCAAAGAAAGACTTCAGACTAAAAAAATCCAATATTCTTCCCTATTTTTCTTGGATCAGGCTTTAAAGGGTTAATAACCTCTGATGTAATTCCACATGTGAGCGGAAAAGTGTATTTGTGTGAATTGACGATGTTAACGGTTTGTGTGTGTGTCTGTATGTATGTGTCTGTGTGTGTCTGTGTGTGTGTTTGTATGTGTCTGTGTGTGTCTGTGTGTGTCTGTGTCTGTCTGTGTGTGTCTGTGTGTGTCTGTGTGTGTCTGTGTGTGTGTGTGTGTGTGTGTGTGTGTGTGTTGCAGAGCGCGGTTTGCAGACTGACAGAGGTCTTTTGTCAGAGCCAGTGGCAGAATTGGGCCAGATGGAGTACCAGCTGCTCAAGTTCTTCACCCTGCTGTGAGTGCACAAAAACACACACACACACACACACACACACACACACACACACACACACACACACACACACACACCCTCACCTCCACCAGCAGCTGACTCACAACTCCTGAGCTCCGGGAGCATTAACGTGCAGATATAAATAGTTTGTGATTCAGTTCGCTTCATCACGGGGGATCAGAGCTCCCCAAACCAGTTTTAATTTTATACTGTTCCACAGAGATGTTTCGTCCCGTGGAGATTTACTGATAGGATTTCTCATAATGCATCAGACTCTATCGGAGGTTTGTGTGTCCTGCTGATTATTGTTTCCCTGACAGAACACTCTGACTCTGACTCCGCTTTTGTTCGTACGGATTTACTGACACTGACTCCTGACCCCAAAAACAGAACGATCACAAAGGACATTTCAGATAGATTACTGCTAAATATCTAACCGTTTCTGAAATGGTAAATTAAATTAATACACGGTGAGACGATACAGAGCAAACTATATGTTTTTTTAATTTTAAGATTTATATTAATTAGAATTTTGCCACATCTGCAAGTTTCTTCTAATTTTAGTTTTCATGGCGTAGGAATGGAAGCTAATGGCTGCTTAACCCTTTAAAGCTTGATCCGAGAATAAAACAAAACAGAAAATTCCTTTTTTTTTCATTTGAATTCCTTATTTGGCCTTTTAACAAAATATGTAAAAAGAAAAAACAGAAATACATTTTTAATATTAATAATTTATTACTATGCGATAAGTCAAGATTATTTTTTGTGTAGTCTTCTGTCCCCTGTTATCAGGTGTATCTGAAATGTGTACAATAGGATTTTGAGCAAAGTTTTTACCATTAAATTATGTAAAAGGTGTCAGACGTAAAACATTTCAGAAACCGTATGAATCAAATATGATACATTTGGCATTATAGGGTTAAATTAAAACACGGTGAGACGATACAGAGCAAACAATATGTTTTAGCAGGATTATAAGATTTATATTAAATTGAATTTTGCCTCATCTGCAAGTTTCTTCTAATTTTAGTTTTCATGGCGTAGGAATGGAAGGTAAAGGCTGCTTAAACAGGAATAGAATCACACTTTAAAATGCTGCATCATCAGTTTTTTTGCTGCCTCAGTGCAGATTGTCTCAGCTGAATCCTATGAAATGCTCACAGGAAGTCAAACGCTGCCTCCCAGTGGACATCCAGCGTCATTACACCTTCCTACACAAATCTAAATAATTTGACAGTGTGATTCCACCAAATCTTAACAGTGAATCGTTTGTGATTTGATAACCACTCGTCTTTTATTTCCTTCCACCAGGATCATCCTCCTCATCCTGTCTTCGTGCTACTTGGCCTTTCGGGTGTGCAGCCTGGAGCAGCAGCTCTCCTTCCTCAATAACCCAAATCTGCCCCTGAGAGAGAGGTAACTCACCTGCAGCAGCCGTTTCTTTACCTGGAAACGGGCAAAAAACACACGCTTAACCCTTTAAAGCCTGATTCAAGAAAAATAGGAAGAATATTGGATTTTTTTTTAGTCTGAAGTCTTTCTTTGGTCCCTCAACAACATATGAAGAAAAAAAAACAGAAATTATTTTGATCAAATTAGCGTGCAATAAGTCAGAAATATATTTTGGTGTAGTCTTCTACTGGCTGTTATCAGGTATATCTGATTGTGTACAACAGGGGTTTGAGCAAAGCTTTTATCACTGAATGATGCAAAAAGTCTCAGATCCAAAAGACTTCAGAAACCGTATTAAATATTATACATTATATGGCATTATAGGGTTAAATGTTGTATCATATTGAATTAGAAGACATTATGTTGTGTTTTTTTGTTAAAAGAGAAGCAAAACTTTAGCCCTGAGCTAAAGCTAAAAGCAAATCTTGCGTCCCTGTTGGGATAAATGAAATGAATTGAATAGTTTAGTAGTAGTTGTGTTTTTTTTGTTAAAAGAGAAGCTAAACTTTAGCCCTGAGCTAAAGCTAAAAGCAAATCTTGCGTCTCTGTTGGGATAAATGAAATAGAAAATTGAATGGTTTAGTAGTAGTTTAGTAGTACTTTCTGCTAACCAGGTGTTTTCCCTCTTGTCCAGGTAACCACTTCCCCCCCCAGACTGAGTCGTTTCCTCTCCCCGTGGATCCGGGACCAGCTCAGAGCCCAGAACAAACCTAACCACCTCACCATCCTCATACAGAAGAAAAGGCCTGTGTGACCCCCCGCCCTGCTCCTCCTCAGTGATCACTTCCAGACTATGCAAACAAAGCTGTACATTTATTTCTGAATTTGAAGTAGATTTTTACTGTAGATCAGGATCGTCCACCGGGGTCTTTTCCTCCCAACGACATTTTACCTGGAACCAGGTGGTTCTTTATGGGAAAAGGGAGAGCGGATTACAGCGGGAGCTCCTATTGCTGATGGTCAGAGGACGTTATGGATGATGTTCGGGGTGGAAAACGACAGTTCATCCCATCAGATACTTGAACAGACTGAGATGAAAGATGTTCCGGGTGTTTTTGTGCTTTGTAACAGGAAGGAATCGCCGACCCTTCGAACCCAGTGAACCACGTCTGTTTTCAGTCCGAGGGTGAAAACTAGCTAACGATGCACTTTTTAACATTAGTCCAGGTGATCTCAAATGTCTGTAACATGATAGATCTATTTTTGCTCTATTCAAAGGTACTTAAATGAAAGTATTTATGGAAAAAGAAAAAGAAAAAAAAAGCATAATGATGGCTTTTTTGAGTTAAATTCTTCACCTCCTGTGATGTGAATAAAATAATTAGGCGACAGGCATAATTTAACATTTCCTGTGTAAAAGGAGCGCCCAGAAATGTGTGTATGTGTGTGTTTTTCCTTTCCCCTTGTGTACATATTTTAAACGAAGACTGAAGTCAAAGACTTTCCTCATGACACATTTGACTGATTTTTGACATGATGGTGATGATTGATCTTGGAGTTCTAGCTTGTAGAATCCCTAATGAATTAAACTAATGACAACATTAAGAAGATGAAGGAAAGTGTGGAGCGTGTTTTGGGGGACTTTACTGCCCGGGTGAGAGGGTTGGATTTTGGGTACTTCTAAAACTGAACCATAAAACTGGAGAGCAGAACTATTCACAGCCTCATAAATTACACGTGGAGAGTTGGCCAAACACCACCGACACCGCTTTTCATTTTCCAGTGACTCGGTTTAAATTTAATAAGATGTCCGTGTTTTTATGGGCTGAAGCGGTCTGGCTGTGGTTAAGGAGCAGATACAACAGAAGGAGCTTGAGTTACAAGATCCTTAACCCTATAATGCCAAATGTGTCATATCTGATACGGTTTCTGAAGTCTTTTGGATCTGAGACTTTCTGCATCATTCAGTGGTAAAAGCTTTGCTCAAACCCCTGTTGTACACATTCAGATATACCTGATAACAGCCAGTAGAAGACTACACCAACATATATTTCTGACTTATTGCACGCTAATCTAATCAGTTTTTTTTCTTCATATGTTGTTAAGGGGCCAAAGAAAGACTTCAGACCAAAAATATTCTTCCTATTTTTTTCTTGGATCAGGCTTTAAAGGGTTAAAGGCCGACTATGATTTTTCTAATGTGAGAAAGCAATGTGTTGAATCTTGAACAACATCTGATTTTTAGAAATAAAACATTCTTAAGAATATCTGAGATTAATCCACTCTTTGATTTCCTCACTGAAACATCAGATAACGACAGAAAGATGGAGGTTTAGCCATTAAGGCTCAGCATTCTGCAGGCATCCAAAATCTCCACCGATGAAAAAAAGAAAAGAAAAATAAAGCACGGATTTATTTATTTATTTATTTATTTATTTATTTATTTATTTATTTATTTATTTATTTATTTATTTATTTATTTATTCATTCATTCAATCAGGACAGTGCACATTAATGAACAATCTTATACTTCTGTACAGATTATAAATGAGCCAGATAGTTGCTAACTTACATCTGTCGTCCTGAGGCAGGAAGACCAAACAACACAAAATCACAAAATACAAAATCAGTCCAAACACACACACACACGTTCAGACAACGACATTACAACAATAAAATGAGTGAGTGCATGACTGGAAACTCTTTAAGTTGCTTTTTAAATGTGCAATAACTGGGACTTAACTTTTTTTTCCTCCTTGTGGACCCAAAGATCTCATCCACTCACCGTCAGCCCCCGTCTCTTTGCCCACAGAAGTATCTCTGGATTCTGTTGTTACTACTGAGATCTGCCGGCTCTTTGCTGGTCGGGAAAAACGGGGATCTGCCCCCAGTTTAACTTCTGTGAGGGGAAACCTCGTTACTCTGTGTGCTGCTCTGATTGGTTCCTCCTGCTGACCGCTGGGGCGTGTCCAGTTATCCAACGTTCCTGATTTAAGGGCCGTAAAGGGCCATAAAAGTCCCACCTGTGGCCTTTTCTTTTTTCTGCTGAATCTATGTTTATGTTTCTGAATTTGGCAGACGCTTTTATCCAAAGCGACTCACAGAGTAGACACAATATTACATTTATCATCACTATGACAATATGAATCTAAACAGAATAAACATGAAAAAAGCCTGTTAACCATTTAGAATTTATGCAAATTCAGAATGGTTTTCTGGGCAGAGCCCAAGAGAAATCCTGCAGAGAAATGAACAAAAAGTGGAAAAGGAGGAGGCCGGCCTCCATTAACATGAAGTTACAAAGCAAACATGTTTCTGATCGGTTAAGAGCATTAAAAAAAAAACAAAAAAAACAAGTTCCAGAGAATGTCTTGTTGCACATTTACTCATAGCAACCTGTTTCTCCACAAGACAATAGAAAGAAGTTCATTCTGAATGTTAGCTCTTGTACAGTGGGGGAAATAAGTATTTGAGCCCTTGCTGATTTTGCAGGTTTGCCCACTTACAAAGAATGCTTATTTTTCCTCATCAGATGGTTATCAACTTTTATAAATTCATATGGGGTGATTTTCTGGAATTTTCTTTGGGATTCTGTCTTTCACTGTTAGAATGTACATATGATTAAAGTTATAGATCGTAGCATTCTTTGTAAGTGGGCAAACCTGCAAAATCAGCAAGGGGTCAAATACGTATTTCCCCCACTGTGTGTACTTGGTTCATCAGCCTCAGCTGGGCTGAATAAGTCTGGAGACCTTAAGCGTGTGTGTGTGTGTGTGTGG